TGAGATTAACTGTGGGCAATTTCATTTCCTGCTGTAGGCGCGTTGGATAGCATTACCAAGTATTTCCAGATGTCTCTGGAGGCAGAGGAGAGGGTTAATGCCTCCACCATAGGACCCAAGAGCAGTGTGGATCAGTCGGCTCTCACTAGAGACAGAGTAGAAGACTTGATGTTGGAGCACGAGTCCCCGTTCAGGGAGAAACAAGAGGAGCAGGCCCGCCTTCTCGATGAACTGGCAGGCAAACTGCAAAGCCTCGACCTTTCAGCTGCTGCAGAAATGGTAAGGTTAGGGGTCTGGCCTCACTTTCTGAGAAAAAGGCACCCTACTTTGTCTTTAATATTATTCAGTTCACAAATGAATCAATAGGAGTGAAACTTCCAGGTTCAGGTATCTAGGTCATGGCACAGGGTGTCCATGACCACGCCAGATTATTAATAAAAACAAAAGCATGTGGGTGTCCATCCCTCCCCCCTTCCAGTTGCTTCTCTGTGGAACACGCTGAAGAATCATGACTACTTTCCTATTCAGTTCTGTCAACTCAGTGACATCTTACTGAAACTAGTTTCTTATTATACAACTGTGGACACTTTTTTTACTTTGTTCTGATTCAGAGTGCAAAACAGGAATTCAGACTTCATTCTAGAAGGGGCTGCCTGAAAAAATTAAAGGGAGTAAAATTATTTTTTTCCCATGCGTATTAGCTAAAATGTTCCTTTGTTCTAGTAACTTTACCTGGTGAAGATTAGCCCTGAACCAGTCTAGAAAGTAGATTCATTTCCCAGAAGCTTTAAAAAAGTAACTTTGGAGCCAAATACAATTGAGTTGTGAGTTTAATGAAAAGCAGGCAGAAGGCCAAAAAAAGCCAAACTGAGCCTGTTTCTTCCCCTGCTTCCTTAACTGCTTTTCATGGAAGGACACCAATCTGAGAGAATTTGGAGGGTATTTTTTATAGACTAAGGCTTTTGTATTGTCTTAGCCTAGAAGCCGACAGTAAACCATGGGAGATGTGTAGGAGAC